CATAGGCTGACTGCTTTTGACATTGATTAACCAATCGATGATCTCGATTACCTTGAAAACTCACTCACATCCTGAATATCGTTCATAAGATATTGAGCTCAGACTTTTGTAATGCAGCAGAGCTCGGCACTGGACACTTTGAAGATATGGTAAGATACATCCTATCCAACTTGCCCTTTTTCTCAAAATAGCACAGTAGTTGTGAGCTCCATAAAAGCTTCAACATTTTTTTCATTTGTTGAAAAACGCTTGTTATTGACATATGGATTTCAAAATCTTGAGGAACAGTGTACATAGAAAGTTTCACACAACGGATGGCTGCTTTCCTTATTGAGCAGCGTTCTGTTTCTTAGTCATCAAGAGCCTAAATATATGAGCATTGTTATAAAGTGTAGCAATCATGACCTTGGAAAGTTGTTGCTGAATCAAATCCTTACGAAGTAACTCATTTTGATTGATTGATCTATAGTCGGTAATATCAGTATCTTCAAAACGATCTGCAACTTTTTTTTCTCCTGGTAAAGTGCAGAAGTGGAGGAATCCATCGCTTGGTTCATCTGGATCATCTGCAGTGGATGGTGAAGGTGACAGGTGCGCTGGATTTCTTTGAGGTAGTGGACAAGGTGATGGTGAACTCGAGGGGCTGGGTGATGATGGATCAGCAGAAGGTCGCACCACAGCTGACAGCACCCTAAAACTTTTTTCTCTCTGCTGCGTTGTGACTGCTGCGGTGAAATCTGGGTCTAATTCTGTTTTATTTTTTCTCAATTGGGCCAAGGTTTTTAGCAAAAGTAATAAAAACTTGAACTTGACACCCCTTATTGTCTCCTTCTAAGTACTTTAAAGCTCGTTTCAAGCTAAATTACTATCTTTTCTCTATACCAAAATTCATACAATTATCTGTCCTAACGGACCCCTTTTTCTCTCAACTCGATCTAATCTTCTTGACCCTTTAAACACCTAAGATTAAACCTCGTAAGCCTCTTAATTAAGACTTAACAGGACCCTAATACGGCCCCTGTTACATCCTTAACTGAATTTGAATACTTACAATCTGATTTTATAAATCTAATCATCAATCCTCAGAGTCACACCATTCATCCAATCCATCTTCATCTTCCATTAAATTCTCAAAACCAATCTCAAGAACATTCGATTGCTATCCTCAAGTTTTATCAATCAATCTCCAATCTAAATCTTGGAAACTCATGTGTTATTTATATTTCAGGTCATCAATTAAATAAACACGATTTAATCAAGTTTTCTTATCTCTTGGGTAAATTAGGATGTCATCTTTTACATGTTTATGATCAAACTGAACATATTCAATTTATTAAACCAATTCATAATCATAATCAAACCATCCAATCAAGTGGTTCATCTTCAGCATTGACTGATGAACTTGAACAATGCATAAACATTCATAAATCTAATCCAAACTCAATAACAGAGATCTTGGATAAATCACTTTTCATATTCTTACCCGAAACCCAATCCTCCGATCAATTCAATCCTTACTTTCAATACACTGGTTCAGAATCCCCCACAGATCTATACATTCTCTTCAACTCTTTTACTTCATCCCAACTAAAACACACAATCCAAAGATTACTACCCCAAGAAATCAAACAAAAACTTGGATTAATCAAAATCAAAGTTTTAAAACCATGGTCATTTGATTGGTTTTTAAATAGTGTACCATCAAGTACTCAAACCATTAGAATCTTTTCAACTTCTTCAGATTTGTTATTCAATTTAATTTCCCAAGGAAAATCAGATCATAAAAGACTTGAAGGGATTGATGTTTTACCTTTTTTGAAGACGTCACAACTTGATTCGTTAAAATGGATTGAACGGATCCAAACCGATTCAAACATTCATGGTTCAAAGATTGAAGGGTTTCCAAGAAGCCTCGATCAAACTGAAAACTCATCATTTTTTGGGATCTTGATCCTTTAATAACACACAAATCACCTCATCTTTCATCCCGAATTGCTTCATGTCTTGACAATACTCAAACCAATCTAATCTTAAATGAATACGATAATTCTTGTAATTCGAACTCGATCAGACGTCCTTCGTTATATATTTCAAATCATCATCATGATGTGAGTATGAAATCTATCATTCAAACTTGGTCACCTACTTGATTAGTTATTGAGAATTTCAAACAGATCAACAAGACGTATGATATGTTTTCGAAAATCGAACCGTCCGCAAACATTCTACTTATATCAAGCAATTCAAGTTCAACCGATTTCAAAAAGACCCAACTTGATCTTCAAACACGGTATAAGTTATGGAAAACTTATGTGAATCATCAAGATATAGGAAATGGAAAAGTGTGTGAATTGAAATGGGTTGAAAGTTTAGGTTGTGAAAAAGATATGCCACACTATGTGAAATAAATGAATTTTGTTAGATTATAATGAAAACAAAAGAAAAACTTTGGGACCAAAATAACCTTCATCCAAAAGTAAAAGAATCCCTGTCCATATACACACTTTGAGCTGTGCTGATATTTAGTGTGTCTTTTCCTGATATATAACTTTTCTTTGTCACGTATTCTATATCACTCAAATCACAGTTAATACTCATTTGATTGAGTAGTCACAAGTGCACTTTCATTATCTCTGGAAAAGACCCCAGAAAGCTCCAGGGGAACTATGCAACCTCAAAGGAATGGATTGAGGGTCAAAACAACACTGGTGTACTGACAAAAAAGGTATTCTTTGGTTTTTTTGGAGCCGAAATCATATTTTTTGACTTCAGACCTACTGATGTGAGACGGATGGTTCTGTCTTGGGGCGGAAAAAAAGGCTAAAAACACACTCTTTTGAGAATATTTACCAAGAAAAAAATAAATGGATTGTTCTCCTGAAAAATGTTTGATGATTTTTGCTCTTCAAACCTACCAACAAAAGGGATCTTTGATATATTAGTTAAATTACATCCTTATAATACATTCCCTTCTATTTTCCCAGGTATGATTGGATTCAAGGCTACCAAGACCTTGGTTTACTAATTGGTCCATAAGATTTATTTTGAACTTCCATACTTTATGCTGCACAAGTGCTTAAGCTTGATTTTGGAACCCCCCAATCTCTGTGTGAATTGAGTATATTTTCACAATGTGTTCTACACCTAGCATCACCCTTCTATCTTATTTGAATTGTATTTAACCTTTGCTAGCTGTTACACAATCCCTGGTGTGACACACAATAATGCAATAAGTTGAGCATGCTGCATATATCCCTATTGCTTATCCTATCTTATGTCATCTTTTTGTTCTTGATCCTGACCCAAGCCTGCAGCCCTTTGAACCATAAGGATCAACTTTCTACTTATTGAATTTAGAGGCAGGCAAGCCCCCCTGAGCTCTAGTCAAAAGGTGAGCTTGTTGAACCGGAGAAGCAAGGAACATATACTGACGCAAGAGGTTGGGGTGGAGAGAAAGGACTCCATCAAACATCTGTTGGGGTTGAATGTTGGGCTGGTGTGGTGATGACACAACTGGTGGTCCACGTGATCAGGAATCAGATCCATGATCTTGTAATGAAGAATAAGAGCTGACCCAATTGGTGGTCATAGATGAGGTATGAGATTGGGATTCCAATATTGGGCAGTTTTGCTGATATCACCTGTAATGTACCCATAGTTTTTGGAAAAGCTGTCACAGGGGTGATAACTTCTTTTCACAAAAAAAGTGAAATGGGATGAAAATGCACCACTAAGCCAAAATGGATAATTGGCCCTGACCCATAACATAGCACCAGTACAGTACGCCATGTTACATGTCAAAAAATGTAACCAGGCCAATGTTTCCTGTGCATGTGAAAATTTTGATTAGTTGAAAAGGGAGAAGGGTTTTAAGGAAAAGAAGTGTTTACTCACAAATACTTGAATGCTTTCCATCCCGTTGCCTCACATACAAAGGATGTTTCTGCTCACAAACTGCCACAAATTGATCACACACATCTTGTTTAGCAAACCATACTTTCAAAATTTGATCCTGTTCCAGCACTAAAGTTGATACAGAGCTGTAAGTTGGCCTATTATCTATTGGATCAAGGACATCATTACATACCATTCAAGGTGTTCGAGATATTGTCAGAGCCTATCTTTGGGCATTGTTTTTTAATCCTTTTTTGAATGACATTGTGCCCGGCTATCCTGATAGCAGCATCTTGAGCCCTTCATAGATTGAAGTCAAAGATAAGAATTCTATTGTACCATCCAAAAAATAAGTTGCAAAACTCACCACACTCTTCTTCAACCTTTTCTTCTGTCCTTCTTTCAAGAATTCAAAGATGACATCTAACTCTGTTCTCGGCCTGAACGTTTAGAAGTCCTCAAGTGCTTTTAGTGGATCAAATTTGGATTTTTGGTGGTCTAAATGTAGGTATTGTGTCTCTCCTGGTGCCACAGTTTTCGCATGGAAAAGGGCCACCTGGGCAAATTTGCCATTCCTTGCCCATGAAACGTCTTGCCACTTCAACACTCATTTTGCCTTATCATCTACCACAAGTTCACCCAGTTGGGCCGTGCCCCAGAACACTACGAGGGTGATTGCAAGTAGGGCACATTGTTCTTCCTCATCTGTTGATAGGGTATTTACGAGGATGACTAGGTCTGACAACAACACCGGTGGTCTTTGGATCATACAGAAGGGCCTCAATCCTCATTGCTGATCTCAGAAGTGTGTTAGCTGTGTCTTCCACTTGGTGGGGGTAAGATTCACTGTGGAACCTATGCCAGGATTTGACAAAGGAAGAAACTGCCTTCTTACCATGAATTACTAACTTGTCATGTGACTCGGTCTGTGACTGCGCAAGTAGTCCTCCAAATTTCAATTTCACATTATCCTGAACTTTCCAACGTTCAAATCCCACCTTCACCATGCAATACCGGTTGACATGGAGGTTGACGACGCACCAGACGCGGGCCAGAAGGTGCAAAATGTTACAAGAAACATTTCACCAACTCAAAATGTGTCCAACATGTTTATGCATCCTGTTGGTCCACAGGGACAGTCCAAATTGACTGTTACTACCACCCCCCGCACCTTTGACAAAACAAGTCTTGGCCAAGGCTTATCTCAATCTCCCTTGATTCAATCAGCCAATCTAGGTAACTTCGCCAAGAAAAGATCTAGACTGGACACCCCAGGAATCATTGTGATAGACCACACGTCTGAGTTAACGTGGAGTCCTCGGACAAACCACATGCAGGACCTACTCCCAGGAGGAGCCAAATCCCGATCTCTCAAGGTGATGGTGGGCAAACTCTTGGTAGTCATCAAAGCAGGCTTCCCTTTGGCAAACAATTCAAAGAAAACACAAAAAATATCAGTCAATGTTGAAACCACAGCCAATATCCTGGTCCCAACCGGAGCAGTCTATGATCAAGTGATGTATGACAATGCCTGGCGCAACTTCAAAACACTGGAAGCTCTTGTAGGCAACGGTCAAAAGAGCCGCCCCATCATTTTCAAGGGCAAAGCTACAGATGACACACTAGAGGCTCTTACCAAGCAAATGGCCTTCCTCACCTCAGCAGTCAGCCAACTGCTACCATCAAAACAACAAACAAAGGGACCAATGGCCCCCTCCTATGCACTGGCAGCGTCAAAACACACCCCAGCTAACACAGGAGATGGCAAAAATACCACCCAACCAAAAAACAAAAGCGCCCAGACAGGCACCGAAAGCCTGAGCTACTAATGTCATCATGCTAGTTCACAAACCAGGATCAGAGATCTCACATCCCGGTATATCTACCGCAAAGCTCTGTTGTGGTATCTTACATACCACGGTAAATTTTTATTTACGTTGTCTTTCTTTTCACAAGTCTATCAATGTCAAATGTGATCTCACGTCTCACAATTTCACAGAATGTTCAAGGACTTCAGCTCGATCAAGAAGTGATTGGAAATGTTGTTACAAACAGAGGTGTAATTGTGGACGGATTGGAGTATGAGTGTAATGAGTGTTGTTCTTTCAATTTTTGTTACGTTTCTTTTATATATATGCTGTCTCTTGTATCACCCAGTTTCTTTCCTCATTGGAAAGAAATTGTAAGTGAATTTTTATCTTTCAAACCATTCTCTACAATCAATAACATCAATAACTCATGATATTGAACACATCTCAGATATTTTTGCTTTTTACTCACTTCATCCCAATCCCATCTGTTTAACTGCCCCTGTTTCTTTACGCACAGGTTCGTTTTTCTCTCACTTCTTACTTCTCTCTCATGATTGCTTTTCTCACTAATCTGTGTTGTGTATTAGGTGTGTATCTCTTTTAGTAGCTCGTCGTAGCTATTCACAGTGCCCGTGGAGAAGGCCCCCGACGTCGGGGGCCCAGCAGTCTTGGCAAGTGTGTCGCATTTGTGTGATTTTTGTGTCACAAATGCCTACAAATGTACACAAAGGGAAAAGATTGCATGAGCATCATCTAGGCTGAACCTCATCAGTCTGAGTCAAGGCTCAGATAGACTACGAGACGAGCAGCACTGAACGCTCAGTGTTCCTCACTGAACACCCGGAAGCTCCCTATGAACCATTTTATTTTGGATTTATCGACTGCCCTACTTGATGCTTCATCGCTTAGCAAAAACTCCTCATCCTTCGAAAAGATCTTTACCACCTTGCTCCATCTCATCGATTTACCAAACCCCAACCCACAGACATTGGAAAAATTTACCCAAGTCATTGTTTTTCAAAACGTTAGTCAAAGGTTTTATCCGATGACGAAGAGCAACTTGGCAACAGTATGGGTATTACCATCCTTTTCAAAGCAAGCCTCTCGACCGAACGTTCTATCACTCCGTCAAAGAGATCATCATATGTTAAGGTTTTTAATTAGGCGACTTATTTTCAAACAGAATTGAATGGTCTCCAAAAATTCTCCTTTCATTGGAACATTTGAAGCCACTTTTTCGGGGAGATGTGGGTAAAGGGATCGTACCACCCGCATATTGTATTAATCCCCGATTGAAGATCATCGATAAGGAAGGAACGCGCATAGGTTAACTATTTGATTAATGCTGACAATGAAACATAGACTCAGCTGAAGAGTTTAGTAACAATGTAAAGGTTTCCACATAAGAAACAAAAGTGGTGCAAGTGAGATCAGTTGCATGTAAAGTCATTCACCCAAAGATGAACTTCGAGGGAAGAAGAAGGATTTACCATTGAATTAATAATTATCCTTGAGGTCCTTTGCTTGGTCAAACCCACGCTTCACTTATCTCGCTGTCCTTTGGCTTTCCTTCTAGCTCATCAAAACTTAACTTTGACCAAAGATAGACAAATTTTCAAGTAATCTTACTCATCACAATACGTCTCGCCAACGTAGGTTGATTATCCAAACTTGACGGCTTCGCATCTCATCGATGAAAACAGATTTTCCCCACTCTCATCACTATTCTAACTTTCCATATGATGCAGCCTTAGTCGACTCACCTGATCTTCCTCCCTGTGGTCAGCGGAGCTCAGAGGTGCGCAATGATCTGGTTTGCCCTACTATCACTTTACTCATACCAACTTGTTCCGAGATTATCTCAATCATGATCCAGCGCCGAAAAGAACAGAACAGGATTGCTCAAAGGCAGCTGCGTGAACAACGGCCACAACAAGATGCTGCCTAGGCCGCCGAATTAGACAGAAGACAGAATGAGATTGATAGATTGACGCGAATGGTGCAAGAGTAAGTTATCATGTCTTTGGGATGCGCTGCTTGAAACCTTAAGATGTTGTCCTCAAGAAGCTTGTACTCATCGAACACTATTATTTTTTTCTCCTCAGGTTGAGAAATGAAAACACGAGGTAGAAAAATCAAGGCATGGGCACTACTCGTCGCCGACAGTCTGTGCCCATCTCGTCGCTCTCCAGATGTTTCAGTGAAGGGACATACGGCTCAGCATCCGATATCTTCTCACAAGGGCCTTCGACATTGTATCCTCCCTCTTCTGTTTTTCACCATGAGCGTCATAGCATCGATTTCGGTACGTTGCATCGCGTCAATGGTACATCGCCCCATCCAAACAGTATCAAGCCAGACGTGGTCAACATCGGCGACTGGAGTAGCAAAGATGATACGATTCATAGGACAACTGATTTGAGCGATGGGGACAGGAACGTGACCTCACCTATGTTTGCTTATAATTCAGTCTTACCGAGCAATCCGAATCTAACGCGTGAACGAGAACGTTATATACCCGTGTTGCGACCTAGAAAACGCTCTCTCCAGGAGGTCAGTGACGGTGACGACGAGGAACGATCTAGATTTGAATTTCCTCATCTTAAGAAAACAAAGAACAGCTCCGGAGCACCATCCTTGTTTTCACTTCCACCAACAGACAATGTGTTCAAGATGTCTTCCACTATTACAAAACCAATCGCTACAATGTGTACATTAGACCTCAGTTCTAAGCAATCATCTTGGAGCATCCTGGATCCTACCATCCCGCTCACGTCTTTCTTACCAAAGACCATTCTGACGAACGCGAAAGATCATTCCTCAAGTTTTTTCGAGCCCTACTCTCCGCACTCACCGTCAATATCACCGGTTACTTCCCATCGATACCCCGTAGGTGATGTCACGTTCGAAAATGCGGCTCAAATTCGGGAAAGTAGCACGAGTGGAAGTAGTGACATCAGTATTGCCAACTCGACATACTCTACCTCTGATCTTCAATACGAGTATCCATCTTATTTTCTCATTTTATGCCATTGCAACCGTTACCTATGGGCATATCTCCCCAAGATGTCTTAGGACTGGACTCAAGGCATCCAACCCTTGGAGCTTTCTTTCAGCCACTCAAGAGAGCCCTCAAAACCCTCACTCATCTTATCAGGTGCCTGGATATTACTTCGGATTTGAATCTTGCTCTTCTACACAGCCTGAGGCTTCAACAATTTTGACTTTTTTTTGTTGGTTCCTCAATTTCAGGTCAAGACTTGAGCCCAGCAAACATTACCGATTTTAAACCAGACCTTTCGTTTTTTTAAGAGTTCCTGATCCATCTATTCGAGGATGGCTCAAGATTGTACACAGTAAGTACATCAATTTCACTTCCTAAAATCTTGATATCACATTTCTTCCAGTCAGATGAATTCCTACCAGATGATGTACCACCTTAACAATACTTGATCTGAAGTACGGAATTACTGGTGTGATGATCGCGTCTCCTACAGTCTGTGCCAAGAGAGCCAAAGAAGTACCAGCAGCCATGCAAACGTTCCATTCGTCCTCATCGGCATCCTCACTCTGTTTAGTGAGCAATTGAAGCAAGACAGGTAAGATCTCAGGTAAAGCCACTTTGGCAAAGTGTTGGGATTCGCGTTCAGGAGGTTCTGAATACTCCAAGGCTTCTTCTGCTTTGATTTGTAATTCGATTTCTTCGTCACGGACTGTTGACCAAAATTCAACAGCTTGAAGGACTACGCGATCGTCGGTGTGTTTCATGCCGAGTACAGTGAGCTATAAGTCAAAATGAAATTTGTTAACAAAGGGATTATCAGGTGATGATAAGAAGCGAACTTTGTTCACCTTCATTTTTGACTTTTCCTTTTAATCTAACCTCGCAATCAAAAATCTCAAATTGTATTCAATTCCGTTTGTTTTTGGTTTGATCTCCCAATTCTTTGCTAGTATTCTCAGTCTCAAGAATCACTCTGCGGTTTCATCTACTTGTATCTTTTGGATCACAAAATTTTAACTATGTAGTGGTACTTTTCAAAGAATAGTAATGAATTTTGGGTTTCATATTTCTAAACTTTAGAAAGGAACACCGTATTCTCATGCCGACTTGCCGTCTCAGATGAATGCGAAGTATAAAGAGAAAGAAAAAGATAGTGATGCATACAAAGCTATCACAAAAAAATTACATCCAATCACAGAAAGACAAACCAACAAGTCCAAACAGCAAAAAAACACACTTCGATCCAAAAAAAGACAAAGGAAATGATTTTGATTTGTTATTGTGTTTTTGGGGGGTGGTTTATCAAACTTCATGATGATTTTGAGCAACAGATGGTTAGGTATGTGGACGATTAAGATGATGCCCTTCTTTAGTTTCGTTAAAATCTTCTGATCCATCATCAGATTCTCTTCATCAGATCTGTGTTGTAATGGAACTCTAGGTAAATTGAATTCTGCTGATCCTCCTCCCACATGTCTAAGACCTCTACCTAATCCAAAATAAAAAATATAACAGACATCCAACAAAAAAATATTGTCAATAGATATGAAGAAAGGATGGATAATAAGGGATGTGGTAGAGACTTACAGCTGCTTGGAAATCAAGTGCATGACCTTGTTAGGATCAACCTGATATCAATTCCATTCAAAGTGTGAACATAAGTAAATCAAAAAATTAACAAACTGGAAACAAGTCAAGTTACTAACCGATTTATAGAACTTTCCATATCTAGTCACGAGTCCAACACTTCCCTCTCTAACTTCTGGGTGAGGGTTCCTGTTCAAAAGTTGAGAAACAATTATTTGGGTAGTGGTTTTAACAATCAATGGGACATCTTCAATGAATTTATTGAACCAGCTATTAATCAAAGCCTCAAAAAAAATTCATTTTGTCAATCCTTCATTTTGTATCTATGTGATTAACTCCTCAAGCCTCAATTTGATTCAATGAGGGTGTAATCGGTAGTATGCTATGAGCGCGTTGTCAAATAGCCGAGTTATTCGGACCTGCAACTCGTTCAGTAAATCTCAGATCAGGTGCATTTAATCAAGAGGTGCGAACAGCCGACCCGACTCACTTTTCAGAATCATAGAAACGTGTCCTGGGTCGTTGTTTCTGATCTGGTGTCGAGAAATCGACATGCATATCAAGAGTGGATGGGATGGGTGATCGTAGGGCATGGTGGGTCTTGTTGACAAGCGGGCTAGGCGAAGTCCCTTTGAGTATGGATAAACTTGATTTGAGAGCACTTTTCCTACAATGAAGCTGTGGCGAGGAACCCCTGCCTGGTGGGACATATGATTGGATTGCCTGCAAAACGCGCGCACGGAGAAGGTGGTGGGATCGACGGCGACTCATAAAGACCCAATGGCAGAGCCAAAGGGCTCAGGCTACCCGGAGGTTGAGGGTCGAGTGGGAATGAGACAATTTTGGTTGCCTGTTTGCTGATAATTGAAGGCTGTGATTGAGGAGCGGTGATGTGAATGAAAGGCGGCGTGAATTCTGAGTAGAAAAAACGTGAGCCTTGATTTAAAATTGGTGGGTCAAGGTAATGAAAGCCTACGGTGTGTTGTGATAGCCACTAGTGAATTTGATTTCAATAGGTATGAACACGTAGACAAGGACAGATCCAGACGGATCCCCCATGAGTTCAAACAATCAGGGCAGGACCACTCAGCCCGGCTCATCCCAGCTCATCCCAGCTCATCAATGTTGATGAAGTTGGATGATGGCTCAGTGCTCCTGAGGTTAACATCTGAGTCTGGCTGCTGGGGATATGGCAAACTGGGCAGGCTGAGCAGTCCAATTTGACCTGGACAGAAATTTCACAGTTTTTTTGATACTTTTGCGCAAGAGCTTTGGGCCCCCGACGTCGGGGGCCTTCTCCACGAGCACTGTGATTGTGTGGCTTCTGCCCGATTACTTACTCTACACCTGATTACCCCAGGTTAGTGTTACCTGATTGGAAAGAAATTATATTTTTGCTTTTTACTCACTTCATCCCGATCCCATCTGTTTGACTGCCCCTGTTGCTTTACACACAGGTGTGTATCTCTTTCAGTAGCTTGTCGTAGCTATTGTGTGGCGTGTGCCCGATTACTTACTCTACACCTGATTACCCCAGGTGTTTGCTTTATAAGTGGCAAAGCCCTCTAATTACGAACAAGCTTGTGTCTTTACAAGCTCATCCGAGAGCTTAACATGGTGTTTATAACATACCAAGTCAAGCTCAAGCCGGAAGCTGAGGCTGCCATAATAAAAAGTGTTAGAAGACATCCATCAAACAACATTGACCTATATTTTGAGACAGCAGCCCATGCTGCAAATGTAAAAGAACTACCTAGAACATGGATCAAGGGTTTTTGAAAACACTAAAAATGAAAGAGGCACACCATGAGATCATTGACAATGGCATCTCAACAACCTTCAATACCAATGTCCAAGACCACACTGAGGAGCTCCAATTGTGTAACAGAGACCTCCTCAATGACATGTTATTTGTCCGGTGGCTCAACCCAAAGATCTTAGACAATCCAAACAAACGTCATTCATCCTTATTGATAGGACTAAAAACTCAAGAAGACACACAAAAGTGTATATCAAACAAAATTTGGCATGTAACATCTTACCCTTTGAGGTGGACCACCCCCAAGACAATGCTACAACTGCCAAAAAGCAGGCCACATGGCGCCTTCATGCCTGTTAGACCCCATCTGCTTGTTCTGTGGAGACAGGCATCATGCACGCAGCTGCCCAGAGAGAGGCAAAGCTGAAATGTAATGTACCACATGTGCTAGAAAAAAATGAAACTGGAACCTTTGACCAATTCAAAGCTTTCTTTGTTCAAACCCGGCAGACATAATACATTATCCTTCAGCCCTGCGTGCCCAACAAGGATTGCAGCAAGCGCCAGCCCATATGACCCAAGCTGCTCGCCAAAGATTGTCATCATAGACGGCAAAGACATGAACATATCTAAATGATAGAACAACGTCTTTGTGAAATACTGACTCCACAAGACACTGCAGTGATATTTCAGCTAAACTGCCATCACTCGCCTCATGTAATTCACTCACTTTTTAACCACAGCCTGACTAGCAAATTCTCAATTTTAGCACTTCAAGAATTACATATGAACAGAGTTGATTATCTTCCCCCCAATCAAACCAATTGGATACTTATCTGCCTAACACCAGCAGAAAAAAAACAAAAAATCATGGCCAAGAACATGTATATACATTTGACAAGACCTCAACGCGGCCCTCAATCCAATCACATCAACTTCACGCAACATATCAGCATGCACGGTAACTATTAATGACATCACAACTCTTTCTCTAAGGTATATAACGCCCCAACAAGCTTTTCAGGCTTTGACACATGGGACAAACTAATGACCAATCTCCCACTCACAATCCAACTGTTACCCACCATTGTGGTTACAGACGCTAATCTACACTCACCATTGTGGAACTAAATCCATAGCAACACTCACAATAAAGCAGCAGATGACCTAGTTGAGCTCATGGCAAAATGGGATCTTAAACTACAATCTCCAATAGGAGAACAAATCTATGGTCTAAGCTCAACTGAGACAAGAGGAACAACCATTGACCTGGTATGGGTCAATGAGCAACTCAACAATGTAATCAAAGCATGCCTTATTGACACAGATGACATCACAAATCATTTTTCAGATCATCAATCCCTGGGAACCTCATTCTCAATTAAAACCCAAAAACACAACCCAATATTCAGACATCACCTTGAGGTGAGAACTGGAATCAGGTAAACACTCCTGACCTATTGTCAGAATTGAGGAATAGTCTTCCACCAATTACCAGACTGACAGCACAGGACAAAATCAACATTTTTGACCAACATCTACGGAAATCAATCACTGACACACTAAACAACATCTCCCCAAATAGATCCCCACCAGGAAAACACAAGCCATGGTGGAGGCCCAAGATCCTTGATCCCCTCAGGAAGGACGCTCAACAACTCCACCACATATTCAAAAAGGATAAGTCCAATGAAAACAAAAAAAACTACAGAAAAGCAATAAATAAATTTAACAAGAAATTTTACAAGCTGAAAGAAGATAACTGGAAGATCCACCTTTCAACTCACACACACAAAACCTTATTTCAAGCAAAGAAATACACCTCAGGCCCAAAACCATCTTCTCTAGTCAACACTTTAATTTCAAACACAGGGACAATATGCTCAACCAACAAAGAAAAAGCTGAGACTCTTTTCCAAACTAAATGTGTTGCCACAGCACCATGTAGAATAGAGGAAGCTGAAATACTCCAATTCCCCATAAACACAGAGACACATCTAACAGATTCCATAATGCCAGACCTCTTCACTTACCTGACAGAAGAAAACAACAAGTTGGTGGTCACAAGTGTTCCACTGCTGAAGGCTCCGAGATCAGATATGATCCAAAACTGGGTATGGCAAAAGATTTGGCAACAAAGCAACACTCACATCAGATACTTATCCTTACAGATATCCAAAACAGGCTTAATCCCGCAAGAATGGAAGCAGGAAAGAACCATCATGATCCCAGAACCCGGTAAGGCAGACTATACGGCAGCTTCAGTCTACAGGTCAATAGCTTTGCTGATTACTCTGAGTAACATCTATGAAAAACTCCTCACCAAACGTTTATCCTCACAAGTTGATCACTATTACACAAAAGCCACTATGGGGGCAGACCAAATAAATCAGGACAAGAGGCATTGTCACACCTAATGTCTTTGATCCACACAGAATGGACAAAGGGTAATGTGGTAGAAGCACTTTTTTCTGATGTAAAATCAGCATTCCCATTGGTGCATCACCC